ATATAAATAAAGCAAGGGTGGACTCCACCTTGCCTCTTTTTATGTGGACGCTCCATCCCTAAGATCAGCTAGCTCCACCCCTACTTTTTAAAATTACTTTTTGTCCCCCATGGTTTTTCTGCTGCTTTCTCTTAGCTTTTATCTCTCAGCCAGCCCATTATACGAAGAGGAACTCCATTTCCAACACTCTTGCAGGACGTGGGCAGGACATATCAACCTGTGTGTCCATCAATGGATGACTGGATAAGGAAAATGTGTCTAGTGGGGGATAGGAGTGATTTGGAGATATATGTATATATATCATATATCATTCATTCATAAAAAGGAATGAAATTAGATTGCAGATGTTACTGGAATACATTATATTACATGAAATAAGTCAGGCACTGAAAGACAAATACCACGTGTTCTCACTTATATGTGGAAGTTAAAAAAATTGACCTCAAAGAAGTATAGAATAGTGTTTAGCAGACTCTGAGAAGATTTTTAGGGTTGGAAGGAAGGAGAAGATGTATAGTAGGTACAGGGGTGTAGATGAATTCTAATATCAGCAAAGTAAGATAACTATGGTTGACAACAATTAATACAACATTTCAGACTAGCCAGCAGAGAGGATTTTGAACATTCCTAACTCAAAGACATTATTTATATGTAAGGTGACGGATATGCCAATTATCCTGATCTGATCATTACACATTGTATATATGTATTGAAATGTCAAACTCTACTCCATAAAAAAGTATAATTCCATGTGTTAACAAAAATAAAAACAATTAAAAATCTAAACAAAGAAAAAAATTTTAAGTACTATAGAAATAGTCAAATACCAGATCCATAAAATAGAAGATTCAATGTTATTCTCAATTCAATTCAATGGTGTTAAAATATCACCTTTCCCCAAAATGATATGAAGATTCAGTATAATCTAAATCAAAATTCYACCAGAATATTTTGCAGATACGAACCAGTTGATTTTAAAAATTTATATGTATAGGCAAACAAATTATAATGCCACAGCAATTTTGAAATGGAATACCAAATAAGAATCATATCACCTAATTTTAAGAACTATCATAATGCTACAGTAATCCATATGATATTGCAGAAAGGATAGACAAATAGAAACAATGGATAAGAATAGATAGTGTACAAATAAATTCAAGCTAGAAAAACTGGATGCCCAAATGAAGTGTTAACAGAAAGAAAGATATGCCCATTTTCCAGCCATAAAAACTACATAACCATAGGCTCTAACATATACATGAAATGACATACTTTCAACAAAATTAAGATGCATAGGAAAGAGAACACACAACCAAGAGAGGAATCAATCAGTAGAAATGTACTTAAACATTTAAAGCAATATGGAAGCTATATGGATATCACTACTATACAATAGTAGACATAAATTTAAATTTATATTACAAACAGTTGTTCTAAAGGGAATATTCAGAGCATCTGTTAGCTGCTATAAATCTAAAAATTTAATTCATCTTAGTATAACTTCTATTTCTCCTACTTTTTGCATAAAATTGTAAATAAGATGAAGAAATGAGAATTATAAACTTAATAATACAATATTTTCTGCTTTCAGAAAATATTCTATTATTGATTTCATCTAGTATTTTTGAAGCATCAATGTTGAAAACTAACAGACTAAAGACTGTAACACAGTAATTTTGTTTATCTTTTTCTCCCCCCACAGTGTTGTGGATTGAACCCAGGGGTTCTCTACCACTGCTATATCCCCAGCCTTTTCTTTAAATTTTATTTTGAGAAGAGTCTTGCGAAATTGTCAGAGCTGAGCTTGAACTTGTGATCCTCCTGCCTTAGCCTCCAAAATATTTGGCATTACAGGTATGTGTCCACCACTGTGTCTCCCTACTTCTTTATGTGCCAAGACTTCTTTAAGCGCCAAGACTCCAACACTCTAACACTCTAAATAGTGGTAAACTGAAAGAAAGGAAAGATAATTTTAAAGATATAGAATGAATTGTTTTCTACATGTAATTTTCTATTGCCATATTATCACAAATTTATGAACTGGTGTTATAGTTTAGTGGTAGAGTACTTGACTAGCATACATGAGGGTCCAGGTTCAGTCCCTAGTATCAGGAAAAACAGCAACAGCAACAACAACAACAACAACAAAAAAAAAAAAACCCCTCAATATTATAATTTACTTGTTTTAAACAATATAAATGTATTATCTTAAAAGTTTTATAGGTCAGATATTTGCAACTAAAATAAAGGTGTTGGACTAGACTACATTTATTTCTGTAGGGTTTAGGGAAGAATCTAATTATGGGTCACTGAAGTTTATAGAGGCCACCACATACTTTTGCTCATGAACTCCTTTTGCCATCTTCAACAACAGCAACAGTGGGTTGAGTCGTTTGCACATCACATACCTCGGACTTTTCCTTTTCCCTCTTCCTTGTAAGGACCCATAATTAATGTAATATAAATAATCTGAGATAATCTCAGTCAAAGGATTATAGAAACCTTTGCAACAGTAATTCTAATTTTCTTTTGTCATGTAAAATAGGATATCTACAGACTCTAGGGATTAGAATGTTTTTCTACTAAGAGCCCTTATTTTGACTCCTGAATATTTCTAAAATTTTTTAAAAAATAAAAAATTATCCATTGGGTACTTCTATAATTTTTAGGTATCAGTATAAYAGGCAATATGATGTGTTATCCTTTAGCTAAAAGATTTGATACAGTAAAAGAATCCAACAAAAAGTAAAATATTTGCATCAGTAGTAAAACTACCAATATTTAAAATAACAATAATTATACTATTGTCAATGTTTAGAAATAATTCATATTCATATATAATTTGGTAGTAAAATAATGAGAAATAAAAAGTTTTATAAACATAAAGACATAAAGTCAAGCCTGAAATAAAAGTATTTTTCCTAACCACAATCATACTATGACACTTATATATTAGCTATGTAACTAAGTAATATTCGTATTTATTTATCTTATAAAATATAGACATGTTTTATAGTATGAATGTATAAAATATAACAGCTACATTTATAATTGAGGGGAAAAATCATTGTATACAGTTCAATCTGTATAAAGAGAATTAACACTTTGAACAATAACCATTTTCTCTGCCAAACTCAATTTTTTAAACAACAGTGTAGTCTTAAAATTACAAAGAAGACTTGGATCTGCTACTGGTTTATTTGTTTGTTAGTTTTTGGTAATAAGGGAAAAGTCTTTTGAGAAAGTTTTTCCCTCTAATAAAAATCTGGAAATAAAGACRGATACATATACCACACAGAAGCTAATATAGTCTAAATAGACTTTACCATATCTGTTTATGGCATAATATGAACAGAATATAGAAACTAGAGTWGTAAGTTTATTCTAAAAAATAAGATATCATAAGTAACTGAAAAAAGTCACTCCATAGGAAAAAAATCATCATCTTACATGTTTAGTGTAGACTCACAGAATTCTACATTGTTTTGTTCACAAAAGAAACTTGCATTTTTCTATATACTTATCAACTCATTAGTGAGTTCATGCCTTTATGTAGAGAACAACCATTTTTCCTTGTGTTCCTTCTACAAAGAGCACTAATGAGATAGAACTGAAACTGAAAAGTTTACAAAGGTTATAAAATAAAACTGAAGAATTTTCAGACATCAAATTATTTTTTTAATAAAATTGACTATTAAGAAAATAGATCTAAATAAATAAGTATAACTGTAATAGAAGGAGGAAAGGGAAGAGAAAGCTGATGGAGATTTCTAAGAACAGTAAGATCAACCAATGACTTAACATCAGTTAAGTTCAAGGTGCGTATTTTGAACTTTAGAGCAATTACAAAATAAATAAAATGAATAAATATATTGTACTAGGCTAGAGAATATACAATATACATAAAAATGTAAGAGAAGAAAAATAAAGGAACAAAGATGATTAGAACAAATGAAAAATAAATAACAAAATAGAATATTAAAAAACCATATCATTGCATGATATATAAACAAAATAAACACAAAAAATTTAAAAAGACTATGAAAGTAGTTTAAACAAATAGAAACACAAAGCCAAATAATATGCTACATGTGAAACAACACATATGTCTTTTAACAGTTGAGTATAGAAGAAAAATTTCTATAATTATATAATTAAATATTATTCAGCAACAAAAAGACTAAACTGTAGATATATGCTATGTTAACATAGGTACATTTGAAAATATTGTGGTAAGTGAAATAAGACACACAAATGATGGATGGTTCTATTTTCATGAAGTAATAGAACATTCAGAACTACTTGACAGTGATACAAATCAGATGCACAGGGTCTGTATCATAGTGGGTAAGTAAGGCAATCACGATGAAACTTTCTGGACTACAGAAGTACTTTACCACTTGACTGATGATATTTATACAGGTGCATGCATACCTTTAAGAAACATAATTAAGTATTGTATTTTATGTAAAGCATAAATAATACAATTGAGAAAGAGAACTAAATTATTTTACATATATTAAATTATAACTAAATTTAATACATGATATATATATTAAATTATTATTTAATATTTTATTTTTATTAAGAAATCAATAAAAACAATATGTACAGAAATACCCCAGAATTTAGAAATTAAACAACATACATTAAAGGCAGTGTTAAAAGGTAGTTACTGTTCTGGGGTCTGGGGTCGTGGCTAGTGTTAGAGAGCTTGCCTCGCATTTTGGGGGCACTGGGTTTGATCCTCAGCACCACATAAATAAATAAAATAATTATAAAATAAAGGTACTGTGTTCATCTATAACTAAAAATTTTTAAAAATGTTAAAAGTAAAAAGGTGGCTACCTGGATTTTTAATAATACATATATAGTTTAWTTTGTAGGTATGAGTTTAATAATGTAATTAATAACAATGGGGAGACCAACTCAGTAATTTAATCTTCCACCAAAGTTTGCTTATATACATAAACACATAAATAATATAAATTAATTACCAATGGAAGCTGAACRCATCTGTCTCATGTGAGTTTCTATGACAGTGGGATCCCGAGAGCTGTAACTTCCCAACTCAGGATAAAAGCTGGAGCCAATGTCATCTGGAGGACTGTGTCTCCCCTGTGGATAATTCTTGGCTATTCTAGGGTCCCAATGCTCCAAGACTGGATGATTCCAATGTATATATTTACCATCAAATTGTGGGTTTCCATACCAACTGTAATAAAATACATGCAAAAAATAATTCAGAGGTGGCAGTTCTTCCAGGTTAAGTTCAGAAGTTTTGGAAGGTTTCATAGTGATTTCAACACTTTTTAAATTCTTGGTATTTGTTTCACTGTTGATTTTGTCACTCTTTTGAAAATCAATTTTTTTCCCCAAATGAATAGTTTGTTGATGAAGTTCTGGAAGAAGGTCAAGTCCAAAAGGAGCTCCAAAAGTAGCTGTATTTGGTCTCAGCAATTTTAAACCCATCATCAGAGAGAAAATAAATAGAATAAAAAGCGACAAAATGATGCAAGTCCTTCTCCGAAATTTTGCCATGATGACATACTTTAAAGTCCAAGATAGCAAATGCTTTGCTGTAATTTATTGAAAAAAGAAAATTAGTAAGAGGTATCAATAATATTTTCTAATGTATTCAAAATGAAAACTAAATCCATAGTGATTACATTAAAATTAAGAAAATGCAATATTATGTTATCAAGTTTTAGTATCTGTAAAATAATCAATACATACATAAACTAAGTGGCAGTACTGATCTGGAAATATTACCATTAGCATGCAAATTATATTCTGTTAAATAAACCTTTTAGGAATTTCATTTAATAAAATAAAATATATTTTTCATCATTTTAACAGATTTTATGAATAYTGAGTAAAGAAAGGAACTTTTCTGTGTATAGGAACTAAAATTTTCTAATTTTAAACATAGAATTTAAAAAACATAATAAAATATGCATGATGTACATTAAAGTTGAATCATAAACTGGATTTAAAATAAATCATTTTTAATTGAAATTACAATATTGTAAGGAGGAAATAATTATACATTTAAAATGATGTTTGGAAATGAAATAGAATCAAACATTTTTTTAAAAAATGACAGTAAAGAAAAAAGAATCAAAAGTTGATATAAGAAATTTGAGCATTCATGAATTCTGGTATACAAGGGAAATCATAGAACTAATTCCATGTAGATACTGAGGGACAACTGTATTTACATGTAATATAATATTTAAGTATATATAGATGTAAAAATTATCATTGGGTAATATGCAAGATATGTAGAAATGGTTAAATGTGCATTTTTTTCTATAAGACTACAGTAATTCAAAAATAAAAACATGAAGAGAATACCACCAGCAAATGAGAGGGCTCAAGCTATTAACATAGTATCTGTTCATTTCTGCTATTAACATAGTATCTGTTCATTTCTGGGAAGGGACAACTCCTACAGTCCTTCAAGCTCTGCACTCCATAACTCCAGGAACTGAAAACTCAGTGTGTGGAACATAGTGAGCCTGTTCACTGACTAGGAACAATGGAACAAGATAACCATTTTGGTCTGCCTCTGAAACTTGTCCTGACATTTCCAAGTTATTGAGATAATAATAAATAATTTTGTGCTTAAAAAAGTGAGCATTCTGACAAGACATGAGTCAGAAAAACATTTTTGTTGATATGATTTCAACTATATTAACCATATACATAGATGCAAGGAATATATTTAAAACATGTGATAGTTACCTCTAGGTGAGAAAACAGTAATCTTTTCATATGTCTACTACAATTATAATAGTTTTATTTTATAAAGAATTATGTGATAGACATCATTATCCAAAGTACATGTATGAAGACACAAATTGGTGTCAACATACTTTATATACAACCAGAGATATGAAAAATTGTGCTGTATATGTATAATAAGAATTGTAATGCATTCCGCTGTCATTTATTTTTTTTAAATTCAATTAAAAAAGAAAATAGAAACAAGAAAAAAAGAGTTAATTGATGGCAATGAATATTGAGAAGGCAGAGAAAGAAAGAAATAACCAAATTACTATGAAATGTATTTTTGGAATGCTGACTTCAGCTGAATGGAAAGTCACAAATAATACTGAAACTTTTTTACATTTTTCAGGTTCATCTCCTAGATCCACCCATGAAACAGAATATAAAATTTGAACTATGGAGGCTGTCTTCTATTTTCTTTCTCTTGACTATAAATATAATTTCTGAAGCTGATCCCTTTCTCTTTATACATAACTTAATTCATTCACTTAAAATGTTTAAAATCCGTATCATTACAGATAATGTACCAGATAAATCTTTAGAGATGACCTATTGGCTGTAACCCAACCTCCATATTTCAATTGAGAATAAGTCATCTCAACCTAAATAAAAGCATCAGATATTGTGATTAAAGTTTCAGCTCTGCAGTTGCAATGTACTACACTCCAGTAGAGATCAACATATCTTACAGTCAGTGATCATTAGTTTTTCAGCTTATTTAATTTCTGGACCTCTTGCTTTTGACATTGGTATGTATGTGTTCAGATTCTACTGATTACATATACATTTCATATGTTTATAGTCTATATTGATCATACTATACAGGAAGAATTATAAAGATTCAATAATTTTATAAACCCATTTTCAAAAAAATTATCACCTTCAAACTTGTAACACTATAGTGACTCTCGAGATACCCAAAATATTTGCTAATCTTGCAGGAAAGGAGAACTACTTATTCAAATTCAACCAAAATAATAATAAGTTTCAGACTTTATTTGAGAATAAAAAAACAAGTTAATTGCAGATGCACAGGTTCTCAAAGCAGGTATTGGCTACTGATAATGTGTTCTCATGAAAGGACAATTTACATTATTCTAAAGTTATACATAATAGGTTCTTTTGAATTTGTTTTCTGTTTTTGTTATGCTTTCAATCTCTTAAAATGTTAGTTTACTTGGAGATCCCACATTCAGACAGCTAAGAAATCAGATCTTGAAGCACTATACTATCATTATTTTAAAATATTTCTTATAATAACATAACTCAGAAAAGCCAAAGTCTCTTTTAGTTATTGTTATCAATTAATTTATACAAACTCTTCATGCTTTCTCTTGGTGGAGGGATGTTTTTTTTTTTCCTGCTACTGTTTGCTTCTAATGTTATTCTGTAGGAAATCCTTAGAGATGTACAACTAATAAGACACATCTGGAACTCTCAGAATCAGTTTCTGTACTAAGGCTTCCTTGCTCAGATSAGTTCTACCGTAAACATTCATACCTTTTGGTCAACAGAAATTCAGTTATGCATAATCCCATCCTTCCAATCTGTGAATTAGAACTTCATTTTAACACTACTAACTTTTTCAAAGTCTATGGTCTAGGATAGTCTATGGCTAAGCAATCTGCTTCAGAGTAAGCAACTTACCAGATCAAGAAGAGCAAGTTCTGACCTAGTAGTTAAGCTCTTGCTCCCATACTATTTTGCCTTTCTACAAGGTATTACAGATATCAAGTTTAGAGAATATATCACTTTTTAAGACATGGATGAAAAACATAGTCATGTGTTCATTTAAAATTATGGTTTTAAGAAACAATGACTGTTACCTGCTTCATGAACTGTAGCACACAATCTGAAGACAGCGTATTTTTATTTATTTTGAGCATACACTATTTACTCACATGAATAAGAGAAGCAGCTTTGCAAATGTGTTAAGCATAGAGTCTGAAAATCCACAAAATTTACAGCAACGCCAGTTTTTTTGTCAGGTTTACATACACCACAATGAGAGTGGAGTAACCAACTTGACTGTCATGAAAGTGATTTGCAAACAACTTGCAATACCTAGATTTTGTTTCGTATTTTTCTTTCAGCCTACTGCCTACACCCTTCAATGTAAACAACCCCTCATCCCATTCTCATCTAATAAATAGTCTTTCCCTTGCACTTGTTTTTTTTTTTTTTTTTTTTTTTTTTGGTGCCTTTCCAGGTTCCCTTAATGGTTATCTGTAGGGTTTCGTAACAATAAAACGAAACAAACTGATAGAACTGCCTATATTTCAAGTTCTCTTCACTGAAGAGAAAAACAAAGGTATTCATCCTCCATAGTTGGTCTCTGAGTCTTAGCAAAGGATAAAGTCTACAATGGCAGCGCCAAACACTTTAATAGGTGGCCTCCCCATCCTGCTCGCCTCTCCAGATGCCCAAGGGCGCCAGGAGAGAGTAGGGCGACCTTCCTGCTGAACCCCAGGACTTTAGGACTTGAGGCTTGTCCTCTCAGTCGCTTCAAGGCCAAGATGCGGTATGAGAGTTATAAGGGCAAGGGACTGAGAAAAGTTCCACCTAAACCGAAATTTCCAACTTTCTGGGAAGTGAAGAGAAAACCAAGGCGACAGAAGGATTCCCCTGCGAAAAGACTGGAGAGGAAGCAAGTGGGGTCCAGATCAAACAGGATCAGAAGCAATGAAAGTAACTAACCTAAACAAGAATCGGGGGTGAGAGTGACAGGGCGGACCTCAGGTGGCCKAGGGCCCAGGTTCAACGCTCAGAGCCTCCCGCTGCCGGCCAAGGGACGCGGGGTCAAAGGGCTTCGGCAGGAAAGCCGCGAGCAGATTGGCTGCCGTAAGCGTGCGCAGGCGCCCACTGTGGACCCCGCGCCCGCCGCAGCCGCGTCACTGGGTCCGGAACTCTTGCAGCTACTCACCAAGGTCTAGGTTCGCCCACCAGTGAGGACTTAGCCGGAAAAGCGGTAGCCCACAAGACTGAGAAAGCTGACAGCTTCCTCCTCACAGCGCAGCCAGTGCCACKGCCCAAAAGGCTGGCGCAGGGCGTTCCGGGAGCCCTGCGGGCTGGGCCGGCGGGGCGAGGCGCACAAGGGTGGGCGGGGCTCAGTTCTCCCAGCGCGAGTCTGGAGTCCGTCGGCGGGAGGGGCCTAGATAAAAACAGGCTCCGGTGTTTTAAAGGGCGACCCCTGCAAGTAAAGGAAAGGGAAGAAGTTGAGTGAGGCTGAGCTCCCAGACAGTTTCAGCAAGTAGAGATGGCAATTAGAAATTGTCTTCTATGGCTCAGCTCGGAGAGCTGTTTTGATTTTTTGTTGTTGTTTTGGTTTGGATTTTTGTTTTCCAATATGAGGCATTCAACTTTTAACTCGAGTATACTGCTTGTTTTCAAAGTTTTAACTTGAGAAATGGTTTTACCTTTAAAAAAAAAATGCTCTTTACTTGAAAGCCAAAGTAGACAGATAAAAATGGCATTTTTAAATTTGCAAATCAATTATCTAAAATCACATTTGTAGTGAAATCAACTGAAACAGTTGAAAATAAGGCAATATAAAGAACAGAAATTTTTGAAATAAATGTTACAGCAGAGGGTTTCCATCTTGCATCAGCCTCAAAAGCCAAGAGAATTCAATGTTTTGTTTWGGTTACATAGTAACGGGGTAATTTTAACTCAACAGATTGTAACTATGATATGAAAACTTTTCTAAGGGCTCTCCGTAAAACTCACTGGCTTTTTAAAAAACAACTATGATTGTGAAGCATACACAAATGAGTGTATCATATAATTGCACATTTTAAAGAATATATATATAGATAGATTTACATAACCCACTACAAAGCTTAAGAAATTCAAAAATACCTGTAGTTTTGAAGCCTTCTAAGTAGTCTTCTCAGAAAGCATACTTAGGCTTCACATAACCATTATGCTGAATTTTGTACTTGTCATTCCATTTCTTTAATAAAATAGTTATATACATGTAATTCCATAAAAAATAATTTTCCTGGTTTTGCATTTTATGTTACTGAAACACTCCATCCATCCCACTTGTAACCTTTTTTTGTCTCACTGCTCATTCAGATTTTGAAATTCAACAATACACAGATATGTTTCACATCAGCTACTTTGGTGCATCCTTATCCATAGCATCTGCTATTGTCAACCTTAATTTTTCACCTGAAAATAGCATCTAATTGCATTTCTTTTAATTTGCATTTTCTCCCTTCCTATTGAAGATATTGATCTTTTTGTATTCTATGGGTAATAAATTTTCTGGGACGATACAAAAACATATCTACACAGACACTGCCATCTGATAACTTGATAAAAGTACCAAAAACACACTAAAGAAAAGATAGCATTTTTAACAAATGGTGCAAGAAAACTGGAGATATATATATATATATATATATATATGAATGAATGAAACTAGATCCCTCTCTCTCTCACCCTGAACAAAATGAAACTCAGAGTGGATTAAGGACCTAGGGATTAGACCAGAATTCCTGCAAGTACTAAAAGAAAACATAGGGTCAGCACTCTAACTTATTGGCATAGGCACTGACTTTCTTAATAAGATTCTTTAAGCTCAAGGAATATAACTAAGAATCAATAAGTGGGATGGAATTAATTAAGAACCTTCTGCAGAGCAAAGRAAGTGAAAGCATGAAGTGAGAGCCTATGAAATGGGAGAAAATCTTATCCAGCTACCCTTTCAACAAGGGATATTGCTTATAWTAAACTAAAAGAAAAATCCAATCAGTAAATGAGAAAGTGATCTAAGCAGACATTTTTCAAAAGAAGAAGTACAAATTTCCAACAAATACGTGAAACATTTGTTCAACATCCTTAGCAGATCAGAAATGCAAATCAAAATTGCACAGAGATTTCATATCCATTACAATCAAGTAGAGGAAAGGGATCAAAAGGGAAGGAGGAGGAAAGGGATGGGGAAAAACTGGRAAGAAAATCAACTAAATTATGCTATGTCCATGTATACAAATACACCGTAATGAATCCCACCTTCATATATAATTGCAAAACAATAATTAAAAATAATACTAATAGAAGGGAGACCAGTAGAGTAGCCAATATTAGAGGAGAAAAGAGGAGAGGGAAATCAGAGATAGTGGGGAATGTGATTGAGCAAATTTTGTGCTTGTATAAATGTGGTATAATGAATCCCACTGTTATGTATAATTTTAATGCACTAATGAAAATATGTTAAACAATTTTACTTTAGCTAGGCTTCAATCTTCTCTTTCATATAAATTTTATTATGGCCAGCCAGGATGTATTAAAAGTCTGTGTTTGTGTACACGTGCACATGCACATGTACACATGCACACACACTAATGCATGTTTGCATGGTAGGGGGCATTGAACCTAGCGCAGGTCTATCATTGAGGCACAAGGTCTCATTAAGATATAGAGGCTGGCCTCAAACTTGACATCCTCCTGCTTTAGCTCCATGTATGCTTGAATTACAGGCAAATTGAAAATCACTTTCCTGTAACTGCAGCAGGACACCTATTTGGGTTTCTATTTGACTTTTTTGATTAATTCAAACTTTGAATTTATAAATCAATTTAGAAAAATATCTTCTTATTCATGAATATTTATATTTGTTGATTTATGTTCAGGTCTTTTATGTTCCATAACTCTTTGTAATCCCTTTTATTAAAATTTGAATATTTATCATTATAAAGTGACCTTTTATTGCTAAAATTGAAGAGCATTCTTTAAATTGCATTTTCTAGAGGGCATTGCTCAATGGTAGCATGTGCAGGGCCCTGGATTCAATCCCCAGAACCACAAAAAAAAAATTACATTTTCTACTAAAAGAGCAGCAAGTTTTACACATTGGTCTCATATGTAAAAGCTGTGATGATTTTTTTGCTTTATTTTTATTATATCTCTATAGTCTATATAGACATTTCTATMATTTGTAAATGAGAATTTTTCCTACTTCTTCACGTTTAAAATCACTTATTCATTTTCTCCTGTTCATTAACATTACCTCAGTATAGTGTTTAATGGAAGTATTGATAGTATTGTTATTTTTACTTATTTCATTACTGTTTAAATTTTGTCATGAAATACAATGATTTCTGTGGGTTTTGCTAGCAACCTTATCAAGATTATTAATTGTTTTATTTCCGATTCCTAAGTGCTTTATTTACTTAATTTTTTTAACAAGTGACTGTTTACTTGRTGAAATGTTTTCTCTGTTCTATTGAGAAAATAATTTTTTTTCTATTTTAATGCCATTTGGGGACTCAGTGAATATTCTGATGTTTAATGAGAGGAAGGTTATTTCACTTTATAAATATGTTAATTCATGCCCACTCGCTTAAAAACTGTGTCCATTATTACTATCAGTGTAAATAGACTAAGTAGATTCTCATTGCATCATCTTCTCAGAAAGTCAGATATGTTGCACAGTATTKTTTCTAAACTGAATTGGGATTGCAGCTAATGCCCTAGCCTCTAAATTTGACTGTTCTGCTCATATATCCTGTTGTTGTCCAGGAATGACATGGCATTGACAGAGACAATGTTTACAATATTGGTTTTTATGTCACATAGTTTTTTTAATATTTATTTTTTAGTTGTAGTTGGACACAATACCTTTATTTTACTTATTTATTTTTATGTGGTGCGGAGGATCAAACCCAGGGGCCCACACTTTTGAGGCTAGCGTTCTACTACTGAGCCACAACCCCAGCCCCTATTCCACATAGTTTTTAACATAGAATATATGTGTATGTGTATTTTTTCTCCTTCAACATCCCTGGTAGATAGCAAAGCAATGTTATGTTGCTATTTTCACATATGTAGTATTACAWGATCAGTCTTGCCATTTTTCAAATATGTGGTAGCCATAATTAATGACAAGTTTTCTTTTATAGTCTAGTTTTCTATTATAATCTAGTTATCTATTTCTCATTTTTTTAATTGGTTAAATAGTTTTCAGAATAAACACAGTTTAGGATTTGGAAGGTATGTAAGTACTGATTAGAAAAGTCTTCAAGATGAGTGAATACTTTGCAAGCTAATGCTTAAAAGAGAAGTTTATTTGCATACATTTAAAATATCTATGTCTACATATGTATACATTTTATACATAAAATATCTGAAAGGATACATCCACTGTGACTTATAATCTGTGGAAAAGGGAATTAGGAAGGGATTTCTTTTTTACTGTAATTCTATAGGATTTTTTTTCTGTTAGCACATATTTATGTGTTTAATTAAAAATATAGCACTGGAGGAATATGCCATTCATTTAATAAAGGAGTTCTTAGAAGTAAATAGAGCTGTGTGTAAATTGATTTTATTAAATAAATAGATACCTTAAATATGTTGCATCAAAGGTGATTAGTCACTGAATGCAAAAGATAATAATTTGAAATGGGAAGATTCTACAGGGAAAGCTACAAATTTTTCTCATCAAATTCTAACAACAAACTAGCAACCTTTGCTGTCTCCTAAGTACCATTTATTATTATAATAGCTCCCACTACACAGGCTTCTTGAGATATGTTTTCATCTTGCTACTAGAAAGCAGCAGCCTTATATTTTTCTTTTACCCTTAGAAATGAAAATGTGTTTCCTTATTTCTCAAACATAGGCAAATGTTTATACTTTTAGTATTTTTTCTAGCCTCTATTTCAATGGGCCTTACTATTTAAGTTAATTATTTATTCATGTCATCTACATTTGCATTAATCAGAGTCCTTTTGTTAAATAATAGAAACCGAATCTGGCAAACCTGTGCACAAACAGAAAGCACCAAAGGTTACAGAGTTAGATGCAGCACGAGGGTGAAGGATAGTACATTAGGTGATAGCAATAATGAGGAACC